TGGAGTCCACCATGGTATCGGTTCCCGATCACAGGGCATAGGCGAAACGGAAATCAGACTGAGATCGGATTGATAACTGGAAGACTTGTGGTCCGGCACGAACGAGTTTTACCGTCCTTTGTTCACTGCTGTTTGCGTGTTTCTATCCGGTTGTGATGAAAATTCGAGGATAAAAACTTTGAGTTGGTCCAACTTCTGAAGGTCACAATACGAATTTTGCGAATAGGTGAATCGCAAGATGTATCTACTTTATACTGTGGCTGCAGATTCGTTCACGTAATACCAGACGGACATACAGTTCTGTGTATTTTATTTTAGGTGTGTGTGTGAGTGCGTGCGCGTTTGTGCGCATGGGAGGCCAAAAGTGATTGAGAGAGAGAATAAGCTAAATCGAAGGCAGTTTCGTCAGCGTGTGTGCTTGTGCTCGCGCGCCTGCGCCTGTGTGCAAATCCGTGGGTAAGTGGCTTCGTTCACTTGAGGGCCAGTTTGCAGCCATCATCTGTTGGACGCTCACTGGAGCATGAAGTCGGTTTCACCCGTCCCAAGTGCACTTGTTCGAGCGCACACGTGCACATCTGGAGACAGCTAAGGTAGAGAGAGAGAACTAATATGGGGTCTGTTTGATCTCTGTTTGAAGTCTGTCGTAATTCTGAACGAAACGCACACACGCACACACGCACACACACGGGCCGGGACCGGATCCATGTCATCTATCAATATCATTTTGANTGGATAGATGGTCCTGTGAATATGATGTGGACAAAGAAATTCACTTGTTGGTGGCCGAATTTATGGCTTCAGAGCTATATATCTATGTATGCATTACACCTTTAGGTGGTGAGCATGGGTCATAGACAATAGATCTATTTAGGTGAAAAGTGACCAATAGGTACAACATCCCCCCAGTAAAAGGAAATTGAGGATGGACAATCCACAGATCACCACTTCTATGGGAGCGCAATTCAAGATGATGCGTACATTTGAACATTTTCTGAGTTGTGCAATGTTTGACCAGCAATTTTCATCACGATAGGTGAATTGTTATTGGTTCTTCGTTAATTGGGTATAACTTCAACTGTGCATGCTCGCGTTCTAGCCCTGGTGGTCCCGGGGATACGAAATGCCTGTATTTCCGAACTAATCAATCTAATGCACAATGAGTTTATGACAAATCAATAAATTAGTGAAGCACCACAAGTCCGAAAACAAGTGGAACCAATTCACAGAATTTGACGACGATGAGAAATATCTTGTCAAGCGTGCAATAAAGTAGCATCATTCAAATAAACCAATCAATGAATAACGAACGCTCGCGTCAAGCTTTTTCCTCGAGACAGCGTGCCGATGATATTATCCCACACTTGGTAACAGCGTGTCGGTGATTCAAAACACACCGATTAGGTCGGTAATCTAGGTTGCTTGTTATGATATGCCCTTTGCACTGTCAAAGTGCAAGACCTTGTTGCAGTATAGACGGACTTGTTGGAGCACTTTTGTTGGACAATAGCACAGTGGAAGCAATCAAGAGCTTCGTGTACATTCAAATAGTCCCATATTCATAACTGACTGGGTGTCAAACGTTCAACTGGTTGCACGCGTGTTGTGTGGTGGATGAGGTGACAGCCTGGGGGGAGGTTGAGTACTTTCACAAGATACTTCTGAGCACGCAAACGGAGGGATTTATGGATCCATAGCTTACGGCTTCGGATAATGTCAAAAGCACTGGACATCAAACAGAGTAATTCTACTACAGGAAAGTTTACTGTTGTAGTCGAAGCACGGGCGCAGTCATTTTGAATTAAGTGTAAGTCGTCTGCATGTCTCACTAGACAGTTTGATTGACGGTTGCGTTTTGCATTTTTCCCTGTCTTGCAGGTTGCTTGAAAGTCCCTCCACGGAGAACTTAATGTGAAAATTGTGTCTTACCTGTGCATTGAAAGCGTCAGTGAGTGGTCAGGGATTGTTCGGCCTTTTGGAACGACACTTGGGGTGCAAGAGCTCGGACTGCGTTATCCGGAGTCAACCTATTGCCAGTGTTTTGATGGGATTGAGAGCTGGGGTGGATCCTGCCCAGTACACTATATCCCGACATTGAAGACAATGTCGTGCATCTCGATGGATTTGCTATATTCCGAAGTGTGAATTTTCTTAACTGAGCTGCTAGAGTGGTTCCTGCCGAACACAGAAACTGGTGTGAAAGCGCATCTTCGTTTTTTTCAGTTCAGAACTTTTACGAATAATTGCATCTGCGTTTATTGTCAGCCCCGATTTCTCAATTGTTTTCATTACAGTACACTATTTAATATTTACATTGCTTAAAAGACAGAGATGTGGCGAGCAAGCTTGGTTTCAGTGCTTTATCTACTGGCCAATTACAACACATTATATAACTCGGAAATAACAGGAAGACAGTTAACTCAGGGTTTTAATGTGTGTAAAATGGACGTTCAGGGGTTGGGACGGACGGAGGGAGATACATTAACACTGACCGCATGATTGGTGATAATCCCTTGTGTGTCCGAAGTGCCCCCACCTAACATACAATGGAATATTCACACTCCGCAAAGGATTATCCCCAATCATGCGATCAGTGTTACTGCATCTCTCTCTGTCCCTCCTGTTGTGGCCTGCGGTCGAGTGAAACGTTTACCGTGCATCACGTGTTTGACCGTTGCG